TTAACATGAAGAAAAGCCTAAATTTTGCGGAAAGTTTTAAATACGATGATACGAATTTGCCGAAAGCTAATGACATGTTTAGCGGATTAAAGCAAAGGGATAAATTAGGCAGGCGAGTAATGATAACACGAATTGGTATTTCAATATAAACCATGTTTTATTCACATTAGCTCAATGAAAGGTCTTCTCTTTCAGCACAATGGGATCCAAAAATTCTAGATAGGCAACTCATACTTCAAGTAACATATCCATCAATGAATCTTATGCGTTTGGAACCGGACACTCAAATAAATGGTTGGGTGTCTATATTGGACTGCAAAGGATTAAATTATTCACACGTTCTAGCAATGACTCCCCGTTTGATAAAAACAATGATAGATTTCCTTCTTAACTTTTTACCGATACGCGCAAGGGGTTTTCACATTGTAAATAATCCCTTTTTTTTTCAACCGATTTTCAAATTGGTTAAGCAACTTTTACCGGAAGAAGCTCGCTCACTTATAATGATGCATGGTAAAAATATGAATGAATTGCACCGATATATAGCGCCCGAATATTTGCCAGAATGTTATGGAGGGACTGCAGAAGATGCTGAATTACCATTGGAAGAAACATATTCTGTCGTGAAGAAATATGAAAATACTTTAAAAGATTTTCTCGAGTGTGAAATTAAAGATACATAGGCCTATTAAATAAACATGTCATTGAATAATTTCCTGCAAATCTTTTCTACTAAATTTTAAAATAATATAGAAAACATTGTTTATATGAATGAATTGAATAATAAAAGTGTGTACAGTGCCTTCTGTTGAGTTATTGGAAATGAATAATGGTCGGATAACAAAGTAAGAAAAGGTTTGATGATGGCTCGATTGCTTATGGGTGAATAAGACTTCGAAAAGAATGACGAGCTGATCCGATATTCAACTGGCGAATGGCGGCTTCTTATTCAGCGGGCACTGCTAGGAGCCGAGCAACCCATTCAAGACAAGTTTGACTGATATAATTTTGTAAGTAAAAAAATTAAATTGGGTCGGGACGGATTTTTCTTTACCTACCACCTGTTAACCCCAAAAAGGGACATAAGAAATAAAAAGAATTAAAATTTCATTCTATGGATTGGGCGCAGCTGGTTTCTATTTCTATTTTCAAAATAAAAGTGTTTGCCGTATCGGTATTTGGGCGTTGTAGTCGCGTCATTTTAAAAGTTTAGGTCAATTCCAACTTTGCAAATGAGCAAAAAACCAATTTTTCGTTCCTTTCGAAAAACAGTTCTTATCTTACGTATTGCTGTGGGCACGTCCTTCGACTGATTTGGCCCATTTTCAACATCAATCTGCGCGCAAGAACTTTCATTACTTATCCCAAATTATAAGTCGATCGCTTTGCTTTTATGGTCAGAAGAATGGTTACAACAGATGTGACAGAGGACAGACGGATAGAGCTACAGACAGACGGACAGACGCACGGACAGACGCACGAAAAGATGGACAGACGGACATGCTTAAATCGATTTAGAATTTAATATTGCTCAAGAATACATATACCTTGTGTGGTTTCTGACTCTTTCTTCTGGGCGTTGCAAACGTTTTGTAAAATGAATACACCCTTCTTCTTTAGGTGATGGGTATAAAAAGATGGTTGTTCTCTCCATATGCATTTATCGGTCAAAGTACACTTTAGATGGCAGACAGTTTGGCACTGGATCCACGAAACCATTATTATATGTTAACATTAATTCCTTCTTTATTTTCTTACTGGACAAACAACATGACACAGGCCGAGATCGAATTAAGGTGCCGTTCTGCGGTTATAGAAGGTAATCGCGAGACATATTTGCAACAAAAGAAATGTTTAATAATTCAGTTCCCTCACATATTAGTTTCTTTCGAGTCTGGCGCTTGCTCACTCTTACAAAACCAAATTTAAAGAAGAGCGCTCTCGCTTAAGCAGATGTACATACGATACTTACAATACAATATATGAAATTAATTAAAAAAAAGTTGGATTCATTTTTTACTATATCTGTCGATATGGAATAACTTTCCGATTTGGTTTAAGCAACTTTATCCGTATGTTTGTCTTGTTTTCTTGTGTTCAACCTATAGGTCACAATTTTTGAGATACTTCGATGAAATTAGGTAGACAAACGCGCTTTTGCCTATGGACGGATGCTATTATAAACAATTTTGATCAGCTTACTTTTGCGATCACTTCTCAAAAAGGCCTTACTTTGAAAAGTCGTTATATGAATAAATGTAGAGCGGACTAGGATATGTACGGATGAGGTGTGAGCCAGCCACTACAGCGTTTTCACTTGTTTAATGTGAAGAACTGTTTGATTAAGCCCGGTTTCTGAACAAAGGAAACCTGGACTGCTGGACTGAAGGAACATTTCGTACACCATCTAATGTGTGGCATAGAAAATAATCAATTTGTGAAATTTCTCTTCTCCAGCTTAGTTCAAACTTTAGTCAGTTGTACTATTTACTATATATAGCGGATGCAGTAGTTTTTTTTTTTCTTTGTTGACGTAAGCTAACTCTTTAAGTAATTGGATTTTGGTGGTATATCTCCTATGTTTTTAATTCTGGTTGTCGAACTTCATGGAGAAAATAACCGCAAATCATAACAATGAAGAAATTGCTTTCAACTGAGGCCACAAATTTTTCTACCACAATCAGTGAATTTCAATAAAATACATATGGAGCCTAAACCAAACAAACGCAACATAGAAGGCTGTATAGCGCGCTCTTAAATATATATTTAATCTGTTGTTGTGATAAAATATTAGCGAAATTTAAACTTAAATTTTCGGATTATATGACATTAGATAAATGCACGGACATGGAAGTCATGCAGAAGCGTTATACATCAGATCGATTATAATTCTTAGAAAACACAAGCATTCGATAAACTAAACATGCCTGTTGGGGATTCGCTATAAAAAAAAAGCAAAATATTATTTCGATTGTATTGACTAATATAACAAAAAAGCGAAAAAAAAAAATTTGCGAAATTGATATTTTCAATAAAACTTTATTTCGATTTTATTTGAAAACATCTCCAACTGTTAGCAAAACCGCAAGCTAATCTTTCACCGTTGGCAAAAAAAAAAAAAAAAAAAAAAAAATATATATATAAAAGTAAAAAAATTGTTAACAATATAACGGTGTATAAGGAAAAAATGAAAACAAGAATGTCCATGGCAGGGAAAGAGAGAAATGTAAAAAGCGAAAGAAATGGAAAACTATTTAAATGTAAAATGGTTTGTGACAAGACCATGCTTCCCTTCTTTTCTCTATATTCTACTATTTTCGTTTCGAGAGGTCATACCTACAACTACCATTATTTTATTTTCGTTTTTTTTTTTTTTTTTTTTTTTGTACAGTCGTCGTAATAATAATAATAATATTTGCTTACTACATAAGTCGTTAGTGTAACAGGACAAAAATATTATGATCATAAAAAATTTGTGGCAATTTTATGTATTTTTTTTTGGTTGTCTTTTTCTTGTTTTTTTGTTTCATTCTTTTTTTGCTTCTTTTCTTGTAATATTATAAAATTTTTTTTGGCCATTTTTTCAAAACTCTATCTAGATGATGATTAATAATGCCTTTGAGACATGGCTGACATTATTAGTGTCATAAATTCATTTTTTTTCCTTTTTTTTTTATTTTTAAAAGGCATTCTTCGTGGGTTTGTTTCTAGGGTTATAGATTTTGTGAAGAGATAAATAATTTTTTTTTTTTTTTGAAATAAATTTTACATAATGTAATGTTGAATGAAATTAAATAAACTGCGACATCTTTAATAAAATAAAAGGAGTATCATACAACATTAGTTAACTAGTCGTTTATATTTACATAAGCTATGTATAAAATTCTTACATATATAGTAAAAGAGGGAACGTAAAGAAAAGCGTTAATTAAGCAACAGGCAGGCTATAAACCGTTTTAGGCCGCTTCAAAATAAAACTCAATTGTAACTTTCGAGGAAATTTGAATTCAGTCATTTAAGTGTCCATTGATAACGTGCTAGGACGACACATGAACTCACATCTTCGAAGATAAAAAATTAAAAACGAGCGAATGGGGAAGAATTTACTCACATATTTTTCTCTCATTCCTTTCGTAGTCGATTGTTTTTTTTTTTGATATTACATAATATTTAATAAAACTCCTTTTAACTTGCCAGAAACTCTTGTGTAATACCTTGCCCAATAATTCGTGGTATGTAGATGTCATCAGGAATAAGAAAGCCCTATTTATATATTACTCAATAAGTCTCTGGTCTGACAAATATACGGTAACACTGTCCACAGGCACATACGATTTCAGGGTATTCTGGTAATTAGTTTACAGTTTGGGTGTTTCAGAAAGGCAAGAAAAAACGCCTAAAATAAATTTGGAAGAGCGAACAATAAGGTTGCCTGGTATAGCTGACACCTTACACGTATTAGAAGGCCGTGTACTATTTTGCATAAATATTTGTCCATGAGAAAGCTCTCCTCGAGGTTGGTAGAGCGTTTGCTCACTTTCGACAACAACGTTCTAATGTTCCCGAGCGCTCTTTGCCGCTGTTTATCACAACCACACGCCACTGTCAAATTGATAGTTAGCCAAGCGGACACCAAGTGACGAAAAACACCCAAAACGATCAAAAAAGTAAGGGTCGAAATGTCATGAAAGTTTGACACGTTTCATTTGAAAGTTGACATTATCTAAAAACCGTAAAGATTTATCAACAGTGGCGGCATCTGTATGGCACCCTGCTTACTTGTTGAGCGACTTATTATGTTTGAAATGTACTAACTGTACGCAGTAGTTTTAGTAAAGTTATCTCTGTCAGTTTTGTCGCAGAAGTTTTCTGAAGAGAAAGATGTCAATTCAACCAATGATCTGTGGAGCAATCAACTTGCAGTAGCAAATTGTTCTAGAAATTCGCAGTTCACAAGTACTACTGCCTTTGTAAATTAACGTTTCACAATTGAGAGTCACTTGGATCCCGTAGACATTGCTGTACATAAGCAATTTATTTTGATTGTTGGTAACATTTCTTCGAAATGCTCTCAACTTACCTGCGTGGTAACAGTGGCAGATGATTACCAAATAGCCACAAACGTTTCTCACCGAACCATTTGTCCATAGACAGGAAAAAAAGAAGAGACCGTCTCTTCAGATTTTATATTTGTGCTTACGTTTCCGCTCTTTTACGAGGACCACCCGCCGGTTGCACTTTTTTGCGTTAACGAAACGTTTTAATTTAGTTTTTTGTTAGTCGTTCAATGTTTTTGTTTTCTGCACGCATACCTCCGCTTTAAATTAAATTACATTTTTTTTGCGAAATTTATTTACTCTTAAATGCGAATGCTGTCTGGTAGCTGTTGTTTTTCTATTTTCAATTAATTTAAATTTATGAGAGTTTTTGTTGTTTTTTTTTTTTGCTTTCATATATTTTGTTTTCGACTTTCCTTTTCATAGCCGTTTTAAAAACTGCTTTTTTATTATTATCACAACGTAAGCTCATAGTCTCGCATATTTATTTATATCTACACGTACCCATGTGCATTGTGCATACACAAATAAATATTCACACACATGTGGTGATAAAAGTAACAATTTTGATGGTTGACATTGGCAACGCGCGACAGTGCTGTAGATTTTTTTGTTTATTTTGTTCAATTTGGTTTTTCGCTCTCTTACCAAAATAGTTTGTATTATTATTCATTCATATACTCGATGCATACACTCGCGCATTCACATTTCATTGTGAGTATGTGTGTGTGTGTGTGTGTGTGTGCATAGCCAGCCATATTTAAACATATCAAAAATTTAGTTATTGCTACTGCTGCTGTTAAGTCAGTATTTGTGGTTTTTTACTGTTGTGTCTTGTTTTCATTCTGCTACCGAGGTTTTATGTCTATGTCTATGTTATCAACTAGTTATGCGGTTTATGCCCTTACACACAGGATTTGCACACAACTGAAAATATATGATATAAACATGATACGGATGAAAATCTATATGTACATGATTTAGTTTAATACACAAAATTGCTTATGATGTTTTCTTTTTTCTTTCCTTTTTGTTTTTTTTTTTTGTTTTTTTTTTACTTTCCATTTTTATAGAATGCTTTTTTTTATTTTTGTAATATTTTGAAGCTGTTAGTTGACAGCTTCATAATTTATTATATGATTATTTAAACAATGTATGAAATAATCATTAGATATCTATATAAATCATGTACATGTGTATGTAGTGTGTGTACTGTTTGTATTTATTAGAAACAAAATTTCCGCATTTTCCATATTTTTTGTATAACATTGTAGATGATACGATTTTCATATTCATTGTAAATGTAAATATATAAATATATATATATATATATATATATATATGTAAATAATTTTTTGTTTTTTTGATTGAAGTGCTTTTTGTTATCTGTTGATGTTCTGTTGGAAATTAAATAGATTTGATTTCTATGTAAATTTTTTTCAGTCATGACTCTTAACAGATTGCAAATATTGTTTAACCAATTTTTGCACTATTTTGTTATTGTTTTTCCATCCTTATCATCTGTTGTTACAATAATTATTTTGAGTTAAAAGGAAGAATTTTTTTTTAAATCATTAAAAACCTATAGCTGGTATATAATTTGAACTTTTAATTATATATACACTTCTTGCTTTTGCTCTTGCGGTACCAGGGTATATTAAGGTTGTGCGAATGTAAGCGGCCCCTAGAAGGGCGCGAGATAGACTCACTTTTTGTTATACTGTTCGCTTTGGAACCACTTTTTAAATCGATCAAAGCTTTTTTGCCTGTCTGTCCCTGTGTCCATCTTCTTTTGTTGTGTTGAACCCATAGGTTGCAATTTTTGATGAATTTTAGTACAGCAATGTGTTACACTATTGAAAATGATTCAGATCGTGTTACATTTTCGACCCAGTTCCTATATAAAGACTTATTTTGAAATGCTTTTATATATATATGTATAACTATGGGGTATTTAACGGTGTGACTGTGATCCATTATAGGGTTTTACTTGTCTAATTCAAAGCCAATGGAAGCCAAGATTTCGTGCACTGCAACTATACTACACTTTATATGGAAAGTTTATTTGAGGCCAAACAAAACTACTACTTCTCCATACATTTAATAGATAAGGGAAATGAAAAAGAATTTTAAATTTTATTTTTAAGTGTTAGATAAAGTATAGAATATTAATGCGTGAATGATTTTTGTATATATTTTCGTACCAATACGTGTAGTATTTATTCATTGACAATAAATTCCTCCATATTATAAAATATTCACAAGAAATTTTCTGATTTCATCGCACGTTAGCCGCCGCCCAACTTGAATACAACTTTTCGCTTTTATAACTGTAAATGTTTTTTGTTCGTTTTAATATAATATCGAAGCCCGAATAATTGAAAGGCAGGTTTATGATTTGACTTAAATTTCCTAGAAGTAGGCATTTCCAGAACGCCTAGGTCATAATGGAAGTATATATCTGTAACAAATCGAGTTTGCTACAAATGCTTTCTTTGCTGAAAGTAAGTATTTAAGATTCTTTTCAAAAGGTTCCCTTTTCGTTTTTACCCTTGCAATCTGAAGTACATGACTGAGATGCCATAGAGTTTGGGCTTAGTGGATTAAGAAATATTGTGTCTAACACTAACAGGTAAACAAGTTGTTTACATTCGGTTGTAGCGCAATCTTTCATATCTTGCTTTACAATAAATTCGGAGGAAATTAAATTCTATACTCTTTGAAAATAGGTGAGCGTGAACGGTTTGTTCCAGTACGGTATAGATAGATGCAGTAGAATTAACCATAGGATGTATGCGGAAATTTTTTGCCGTTTGCTCTGCTTTAGTTTGGGAACAAATGACGTCTTGACTTTGGAAATAGAAATGTTCTCAGATTGTGTTGCATTGTAGGCGTATCGTTCAACGAACTCGCTTTATTTTTAATTCCATCTTGCGTTCAAGAATTTCTTATGCGTTTTCCCAAATTTTAATCGGATATCTTTGTTATAGCGGCTGGGTGAATGTTTCTAATCGACGATACGGGTAGATAGATGGGCATGCTTGAAGCGGTTCAAAATTTAACACGGGTCAAAAATATCCATACTTCACAGGGTCTCTTTAGTTACCTTCCGAGTATTGCAAAAGTTTTGACAAAACGAATATACCGCCTTTGTTCGTAGTGAGTATGAGAACAATCTTATTGCGTCTTTTATGTACTTGTCACGTTAATTTGCATCGCATAAATAAATAACATTAATCCTCTCAAGCGACAATAAATCTTGTAATATCTAAGAGATTTTTAATGAGATAAGCTACTATGAACTCTTTCACAGTGAAGTTTAGGCAATGATCTCAAACGACCAAATTGTAGGTCGCCAAAATCCAGTATATTGGGCTTGAAAGTAGGGACCCAAAAAGAGGTTTTATTAAGTTTGTAAAATCAAAATCCCATTTGTAGTAAGACATTTTGCTCGCTTAGAAAAAGGGTGGATGGTGGCTGAGTGGCTCATCGACATACATAACTTTGAGAAAAAATCTGAGAACTGATGCACGCAAAATTAGGTTCGAAACCATGCATGCATCCCTCAAAATCTTGTCTAAAAATATTGAAAAAATTTGTAAATGATTTTAGAGAACAGTGTTGTCAAACTGCTAAAATTTGTCGTGATTCTCGGTCTAAAAATTGGTATAAATATATATTAGACTATCGTAAAATACGATCCTGACGCACTCATAGTTATATGTTTAATTTATTCGGTTATTGTTATTGTTATATAATATTCTTCCCTGAGCAAATGGAAGATTATTTTTTTATTTTTCATAAAGTAATACACGTATATAGGAGAGAGCATAATTAACTAAAATAATTTTATAATGTGTGTTGAAATTATTATCGTGTTTATTACCAAAACTGTTTTTATGTGCGGCACGAAAAACTTTCACTGAGTGTTAATGACTTGTTTTATTATTTCGGTTTTTGTGGGGAGAAAGTAATGAAATTTAATGCTGGCAATACTTTGGTATAATTAAATGCGACAATAACAACACTGGTGTTAGAGTAAAGTTTAATGGTTGGTATAGCAACAACATCAACGTTGAAAATAAATACCACGCACACACCTAAACATCCGAAAGCACTTAACTTTAGTTTAAATGTTTAGTTTATAAAAATTTATAACAAAAAATTTCGTTGTTTTGTTTTTTTTTGTTTTTTTTTGTTTTTATTACTTTATGGAAAAGTAATTTTCTCTAAACATATTTCTACTCATATGACATACACAGAGCCAAGGAGCGTATATTCGAGTACACTGAAGAATTAAAAAAAATTTTTTTTCACTTGTTATTCATGGTAAAAAGTACTTGGTAGAATATTTTTTGTATTGTAAAAAAACTAACAAAAAAAAAAAAAACAGAAAACCAAAAAAAAAAAATATTAAGTAAAATTTATGAGAACCAGCGTTAAAAACACATTTCACACATAAACGGTTAAACAAACGAAGTGCCAGCGTTCATGGAAATCAAACTAAGACCAAAGTTTATAAAACACAAAGCAGAACATAAGAGTGAGCACTCAGTTAACAGCAATATTACCATCGCCACCATCTGCTCTTCGTAATATATAGTACATAATATATGAGGATATAAGCGCTTATGTTAAGGATATGCTTGGCTGGTTGCTCAGGTAATATTCAAGGGAAACACGATATGAAAGGGATATGTATTTGTTGTAAATTTTATGCGTGCATAAAAAGTAAACAATAAATAAAAATTTATAAAGAGTGTAGGAGAAAACTCAAATATTCATATATGTAAATATTTCAAAAAGAAAGAGAAACTTCTAAGAATGCAAGAAAGTGTTAAGCCCACTAAAAATTTATTTAGTTAGTTAATTCAAAATTTCATTATCCGCATGAAAGCGATTTAAACGAAATGAAATCAATATATGAGTTTCATTTTAGTAAAGCTCAATATTTTTTAGATAATCTAATATCCAAGTATATAAGCAAATCTAAAAGAGCAATTTAATGCTTAGTGTTTATTCTGTACAATTTTTTTTCATCATTAGCATGAAGTGTGTTTTACTTTATATGAAACACATTGAAGATGCGGCTGAAAGTATTCTAATATAGTATATTACAGTGTATAACAATAATAAAATCATAAAACTATAGTTTATTTACTATAATTAATATTTATGTATCTAAAACGAAACATTACTTAATTTGAAATTTTTACAGGCAACGGCAATCGACTACGCATAGTTGCATT